GGTCATCTTGTACTCCGTAATGTAGTCTTTCACGCTCCTCGGCCCCACTCCGTCGTATATCATCCTCCTCCTCTCCATACACGAAGTACCTAAAGAAGCCGAGGGCGGTCATCTTGTACTCCGTAATGTAGTCTTTCACGCTCCTCGGCCCCACTTCCAAGAAAGCAACTACTTGGGCATCCAAGATGGCACTCTTCGGCACATCATGGAGGGTCAATCTACCACTATGGCCGGCGGCGGATTGAGAACATGGTCCGTCGGCCTGGGAGCCCTAACCCTGCCAAAGGGCCCTACGTACATCTGAGCAACCAGGTAGTCAGCCGCTCCACACTGCGGCTTGATGATGTAGATATTGCTAAGATCCAGCTGGGAGAAACCAGGCCCCGTCTTCGGCCGACGCTTCCTCTCCGGGGCTGTACCCTTGACGGTGGACACCGGTTTTGGGCAAGGAATGGCGGTGGAGGTAGATGCACCATCCACGACGCGAGAGACCTCCGCGTCTTCGCCCTCAGACGACGAGCCGGCTTCCTCGTCCTCACCTTCATCGTCCACTCTATCCCCCGACTTCAAAAGGCTCAATCCCTCAATCTCCTCGCAGCATTCCTCCACCACCCTGTAGTCAAGAGACTGGGTGGAGGGCTCGTCGTCGTAGGGATAATACTCCTCGTTCAGGGTTTTCATCTTAACAACTCCTAAGGCACTACAGGGATCTATTTTAGATCCAAGATGTTTTTGTGACTAACACTAGATCAAAGTCTAAAGGAAGCAAAATGTGTAAAAAATCAAAGAAAAGTTAAGGAACTGACCTTGAAGTTTTGAAGGAGGTGAAGAACACTCGCAAAAGACTTTATCTCTCTAGAATTTTGGGCACCACTTCGTTTGCTCAGGATGCAAATGGAGGCTTTCTTCGGAATGGGAGGGGTATTTATAGGCCCCCCAACGGTAACTACACGTGGCACCACCCTAGTGGCCACACCAACGGCCACCAATGGGATGCCACCACTTCGTCAATGGGCCAAGCCCCCTCCACAGATCAACAGCCCACCAGCAAAGCAGGCTCTACGGAGCGAGGAATGGGAAAATGGCACCCACAACGGCCAACACAGGCTACGGCTACCCAGGTCGCACCCGTATCGGCCATTTGAGTGGCCATACATATTATGTAAAGAAAGGCCTTACAACGGCCACAACACCTCAAGGGAAAGGAACCCAACGGCCATTCGGCCCTCGCACTAAACCCTTGATGATAACCCTTTGAAAGCGACCTGCGTCCAAGGGTTCTCCCACAGGGTTACCTTGGTCAGGAAATCGCCAAAGGGTTGGATCCAAGGGCAGTATGAGGATCCCGCTTCGGCCTAGGTTTCAAGCTACTCCTTCATCCCTCAGAAACTCTTCGGCTTGAAGGAGTGGGGGACTGGGGGACTACACCGGCCTACGGATTGGCAAGCAAAATGGGAAACAAAAATGCACAAGGTACACAACTGCAACTACAAGCGCGGCCACATCGTCCATGTACCACAATGGTTCTAAGGTCCTCATAACTCCATCTCCGGCCAGACATTGCTATCGTCCGCAAACCTTGGGCAATATGGCGCCTTGTCGTCCAAAGGCACATGGTGCCATCAACGATGGCCAAAAGGAGTGCACAGCACCCTCACCGGCTATCCAAAACAATGGACGCTCATCGTCCTCAAAACAAGACGCAACCTCAACGGCCTTATCGGCCCAAAAGGAGTGCACAACACCCTCACCGGGCACCCAAAACAAAGGATGCTCATCGTCCACACAACAAGACGCGACCTCAACGGTCTTATCAGCCCGAAAGGAAAGCTCAACCATCAACGATCAAGGATAGACACTACCTTCCTCGGCCACTCACACCAGAACACTCATCGTCCACAAACAAGCGAACCAAAGAAATGACAGCCTTCCCCGTCCATATCAAGGGGCAGGTAACGGCCAGACTCAGAACAGAGCCACCAAGTGGTGCCCTCATCGGCCAAGGGCGCCAAGCACAGAAATCTACTCTCCTTCACTTCGTCTACATCTCAGCTTAGAGAGTGGGGGACTCCTGATGGAGTATATGGGTCTAGGCCCCAGGACCCACATACTCAGAAGAACAGCAAGTACAAGACACCAAGTGGCGCCCTCGTCGGCCAAGGGATCCCCGACGGCCGAAGAGGGACCAACTCAGAATATGATCCTGAGGCCAGGGAACTTGGGTGCCCTCGTCGTCAATACCCTCATCGCTCGTGCCCTCGTCGTCCAGACCATCGTCGGCCACGGAAGCCTCACAGAACTAGATTTTACACTTAATCATTTCTACACACATTGTATTCGGCCCAATAGCGATCCAGTTGTAAATGGGCCTCTCAAGCCCAAGCTTGGGAGCCCAACCCGTATTTTCCCTATAAATACTTCCTCTGGAGGTAGTTGTAGGGGTTGGAAAATCATTTATTGAAGCATTTACTTGCACTTCTCTCTCTAGCTCTCACCTCTCTCTAGAATATACTCTATCATTTACTTGCATTTACTCTATCACGTCCCAATCAAACAGTGTAGCCAAAAAGAAGAATAGAACTTTAAAGGACATGATTAATTCCTTGTTAGTAAATTCTCATACACCAAATGACTTATGAGGGGATGTTATCCTAGTAGTAAATTATATCCTCAATAGATTGCCGCACAAGAAAACTCTTAAAATTCCATATGAGTTCTGGAAAGGACATAAATCAAGTTTTAATTACCCGAAGGTATGGAGATGTCTAGCGAAAGTAGCTATTCCCAAACCTAAAAGAACCAATCTTGGACTAAAGACTATTGATTGTGTCTTTGTCGATTATGAACCAAATAGTAGTGCATATCGATTTTCTTGTCCATAAACCTCATAATATGGACATGGTCGCACCCACCATTATAGAATCAAGAGATGCTACATTCTTTGAGAATGTCTTCCCTTTCAAAGGAAATTGTGATGTTGTTTCATTCGACATGAATATATTTATTCCATCCCATGCTGATGAACCAAGCTCACATAAGAGGATTTTCGGTTATATAAATGGTAATGATGAATTGACGAAAGAAACTTGTTGAGGTATATTATCCCGGTCTATTACTGTTCAGGAGTCTAATGCATTACCCCAGTACAGAGCCCAATCAACGAGGGCCATTTCAGCCTATCAGGCCCATTTCGGCCCTTTGGGCACGTTTCGGCCCACTCGATCCATTAGGGTAGCTTTGCACCCTCCCCCACTTTCTCTATAAATAGAAGCTTTCCCACTATGTTTAGGAACTTTTCTCTTCTTCCCACACCCCAATCTCTCTAAAGCTTGGAACTCCATTAATGGCTACCAAAGCTCAAACTTGTACATTGTAATGGTGAGGAGAGATTAATGAGAAGCAGAGTGGCTTGGACATTAGCCTAAAAAGTCTCGTGGTTTTCACCCTTTCGGGTTTCCAGGTTAAAACCATTGTTTATATTTTGTTATCATCGACATGCCACGAAACCCTCCGGAAGAGGTGTTGGACTTCCGTGCTGCGGCGAATAAACTCGGACCAGCTTCAGAAGCTGGTGAAGGCTAGCGGAAAAACTCTGTGCGAGGCCAAACTTCTTAGTCAACCGAGCAGGTGCCACAGGAAAACGCCTAACCGATTAAACCGCGCTGCTCGGCCTGTGGCTGGTCGCCGCTCGTCTCCTTATGTAGCACGTCACAGGTCGCATGACCGACGAGGATAGCCGCACAGAGCGGACCACCGGCTCGCAGATCGTCTCGCCGGTTACGGCCTACCGAGAATGGCGGTGGAACCTGCTCCAAGGAGAATCGCCGCTCGATTGCGTTACGTGCCAATGTTAAGCCCATGAATGAAGCATTTTTATGGTCCATCAATTCTGAGCTATAAAGCAATACGGGCCAACATTTCTACACCAATTTCAGCCTAACTCAAAAGCTAAGTACAAATTTATGGAATTGTTAATTAGTTTCAAATAGTATTAAGTGCTATTATTTGAAAACCAATCACAATAACTAATAACTTCAAAAGATAACTACAATTGACAGTCACTTTTCATGTAATTGCATACATCCATATCAAACATCCACAAAAGCTACAAAATTAGAAATGCACATTTCATATGAAGACTTATTAGCCATTTTTGACATCCATAGAATTGTCTCCCACTCTCCCTTCTGACGCACAATGGGGCTTTCAATCCACACCAACAATACACTGCAGGCTCGTAATTAGTTGTGCTCTTACGTTCTTTGGTACCACTTGATGCAGACGACGACGCCATTGATAGACACGAGCTCAGGAAAAGGAGAAGAAGAACGACAGGCGCAATGGAACGGAGATGGAACGACGAGCTGCAGGCTCTTACTTTCTTTCCTAATTTCGAAAGATAAGGAGTAATTTATTTGGGAATGGAGATGTGAAAATTTTTAATCCATGTCACCAATGGAACCCTCAATGTACGATGTCCACGTCAGCGCCACATGAGCGAGCAACGGGCTAACCGGGAAGCATCCGATTATGTAGACCTAATTGACGAGATTTTCATTGTTGGCAGGTTCAATTGAGGGTTTCCAAAATACGGGGACTCCATTGACGGATCGCGCATAGTATGAGGGCGCAATTGACAGTTTAAGGATCAGAATATCCCAAGTTAAATACTTTATTTGAAGCAACACAACTCATTATTCAAACAATTTGAGTAAAAGAGAATTAAAAGGATAAACGAAAAAATGATAGATTTATAAACTATTTTTCTTTCTTGGTAACTATATTTTATAGATATTAAAAAAAATTAAACATCTGGGCCCCCATAAAATCGAGAGGTCCGATTCTAGATAGCCCATTGAACCCCTAAAAGCGGCTCTTACCTTTGGTTCCATTGCAAATGATGGAAAAAGTTATTTAGTTATGGTTCAAAAAAAGATGTAAAGATCTTTACCATAGGAATATAATATCCGAATGGTATAGTGAAATGTCAATGGCTCACCGGAGAGTTACCATCTCCTTGCCCCAGTTTAGTTGTGGGGCTTTTTGTTTTTTCTTTCGCATTATAGATTTAATTTGTTGTATATATAGATATACCCACATACACATGGTGAACTAGCTCACTCTGTCAAACAATTCAACTAACTCAATTATTACTGAATATAGATTGATTGGTAATAGAGGTAGCGAGAGAGAGGGAATATAATGCATCGGCGGTGGTGGACGGCGAGTGTGGAAGAAAAGTTGTGGAGCTCGGGAGAAGAGGCGGTGTGGGTGATATGGGAGGAGACGATGGGGCTCCGGGTGCCGGTGGTGGCGGCGCTGATGAACATTGCGGTGTGGCTGTGCCTCGCAATGTCGGGGATGCTGTTCGTGGAGCGGGTGTACATGGGGGTGGTGATGGTCTTGGTGAAGCTGCTTGGGAGGACGCCGGAGAAGCGATTCCGGTGGGCGCCGCTGCAGGGAGACGTCGAGTTCGGCAGCGCAGCTTCTCATCCTATGGTTCTGGTGCAGATCCCAATGTACAACGAGAGAGAGGTTTGCTATATTTTTATCTATTACCCCTCAGCTAGCCTAGCTACCTCTTTTACAGCTGCTATTTTCTTTCGCAATTAAATGAAACCGGCCGGCCAGAAGCTACCCAGGGCCGTGGGCAGCGGCGGCAGCAGCAGTAGGCCGGCCCCCAACATTAACTCTCACCCGGGCATCCCAGCCTGCTAATAAAATGAGCTGCTTCGTTTACAGTAATTGATTTTTATATTTGAATAGTTAGATTATTTTAACACAATTGATATTTTGGATCACTAATAGATTATTTTTGTCTATTTTCCTACTTTATAATGCATACTTTTTAGATTATCTTTTCACCTACTTTTATAGTTTATCCGTTTACAGCATAATCCCAGTTTTTCCTTTAAATATTGTGTCACACCTGATGTTACAAATGAAATAAAAGATATTGAGTGCAAATGTGGTAAAGGAGAGAATAGGGAAGAAGAATTATCATTAATTTACTACTTCCCTAAAAAATTACCATTACTTTACCGTTTAGTAGAGTATAATAGTAGAGCGGAGGAGGATGAGGCACCCCCAATAATTTGAAAATGTTTGGTTAATTGTGTCTTCTCCGGGCACCAGCTTTTCAGAGAAAAAATGATGGCATTAAATAGTCCGTACGTACGTTCGTTCGTGGTGTAGGTGAGTCTTATGGAATTTACACCTTTTCATTTTAAAATCTTTTTCCATTCAATTGCCTGCGTTTGAATAAATTAGGGAAGTTATGTAACACTTGGTTAGGTCATGCCGCAAGTGTAATACGGAGTACAAAAATCTTGGAAATTGAGGGTAAATATTACTCTGTATATGGAAACCCAAACAAACACTTTTGAGAGCAAATTATACGGTGCAACCGGCGCACCATGAGGATGGTGCGCCCGGTTGCAAAAGGACGCATCATGGCTGTTTTTTTTTTTGCTTTTGTTGTTAAAAAATTATAATAACTTTTTTATTTTTGATCTGATTTTTATAAAATTTATATCAACATTTTTTATTTTTCATTATCTTTCAAATGAGACCAATATTGCTTATGTAGTTTTAAGAAATTATCGAACTATTATATTAATGAGTATTGGATTATAAGGAAAATCAAACCTGTTTGGGAGATGATAGGTTTGTGAAATAGAAGATCGAATCTGTTTGGGAGTGGATCAGTGACCTCAGTTACATTTGATAATACATTTAGTTACATCTTTTTATGAGCAAGCTACATCTTTTTATAAGCAAGTTACATCTTTTTATAAGCGAGTTACATCTTTTTATAAGCAAGTTACATCTTTTTATAAGCGAGTTACATATATATACACACGAGTTGCATTTGACATGTCTGAACGCGAGTTACATATATTTACATGTAAAGTTACATATTTTTACACGTAAAGTTACATATTTATACACGCGAGTTACATATTTAAACACACGAGTTGCATTTGACCTGTCTGAACGCGAGTTACATATTTTTTTACGTAAAGTTACATATTGTTACACGTAGAGATACATATTTATACACACGAGTTGTATTTGGCCACGTGAGTTACATTTTTTAACACGTAAAGTTACTTATTTTACACGCAAATGTTAATATGTTAAAATTACATATGCAATATTGGTCTCATTTGAAAGATCATGAAAAATAAAAAATGTTGATATAAATTTTATAAAAATCGGATCAAAAATAAAAAAAGTTCTTACCATTTTTTAAAAAAGAGAAAATAATATGCAATGGTGCATGGTGCTCACCATGCACCCGTTGTACGGTATACGCACTGCCTTTCGAGCAGTATGTAATTACAAAAAACAGTATATTAGTGCCTTCTTAAATTTGGTCTAATCTAGTTTTATCTATTTACATTTAAATTCTGGAACTGAAATATGTTTATTCACATTCATGTTACTTAAATAAACGAATTTTTAATGACACTAGATTGACACATATATTTTTTCAAAATAATTTCACATCTTCTAAATTATATCATTCATCATCTCAAAATAATCAGATCTTTTGTGGGTCCTTTACTCACCAATTAATACTAGCTGCACAATAATTTTGAGATAATCTAGATTCATATTTCAATCCAGGATTATTTTGTCAAATAATCTCATTAAATAACTTTCATCACTCAATCATGATCTCAAAAATAATTCGCCACATCACCAACTTAATCCTCAAATAATTCTATGGATGGAGATGACCTAAAAACACGCACACACTTAGAGCCTGTTTGGTAAGCCCAATTCAACTGTATTGGCTGGTTCTGCTTAAATTTATAAAGTTTTGGCTGAAGTAGCTGATTTATGAAAAAATATTAAAAATATATTTTAGGCTAAAGGGTCAAATAGCCCCCTATACCTTTCCAGATTGTTCAATTTGCCCTCCGAACTAAAAAAAGCTCCAATTGGCACCCTGAACTCCATAAAAAGATTCAAATTTTACTTTTTGCAGGTCACAAGCCGGTCATCGCCACATCACCAGATAGGGTACCAACTTAGGGGGTCAAATAAGCCCCTGAACCCGACTGAAATGATCAATTTACCCCCTCGATCCTTAAATTTTTTTTGACATTTTTTAGGGTTGAGGGGGTAAATTGAACGATTCGATCGGGTTCAAGGGCTTATTTGATCCCTAAGTTGCCACGTCACATGCACAGTTGGCATCCTACCGGGTGACGTGGCGGTGACTGGGTTGAAACCTGCAAAAAGTGAATTTTGAATATTTTTATCGAGTTCAGTGTGCCAATTGGAGCGTTTTTGGGTTGAGGGGGAAACTTGAGCAATCCGAAAGGGTACAAGGACCTATTTGACCTATATTTTATTAATAAAATAAAGAAAAAATTCATATGAAAAAACAACTAAAATGATCATCTACAGTAACTTCAACCAATACAGCTATAAAGTAACTCCAACCTTACTTTTTCTTATCATTATACAATTCAGCGCTCGAAATCAAAAATTACATGTTTGGTGAAATTTTCTTATGATAAGTCTGATACGCCAAAAAACAGGGTCAACAAAAGGGCTCTTACATTTGTGTCCATTAAAAACATACTACCTTCGTCTCTTAAAACAATATCATCTTTGACTTTGCAAGTCAATACCGTTAAACTTTAGACCATGATTGTGATTGGTATAATGTTATAAAAGTTAGAGTATAAATTTTATACTTTTGTGAGAGTATTTTTAGAAAAGAGTATTTCCATATAATGTTATATTATAAATAATTCTATACAAATAAAATATATTATCGGCCAAAGTTTGAATTCATTAACAAAAAGAATCAAAGATAGTAGGGTTTTAAGAGCATCTCCAATACTTAGGGTGGTTTGGTGCTTAGGGGTATAACAAATGGAGAGGCCGAGAGGGTGTATTGAAATTGTGAGATACAAATAAGTAAATGAGATTGCGGGTCTATTAACACCCTCCACCATTGCGGAGGGGAAGGCTGCACAGGTTGATGGGTGTAGTCCAATGGATGACCATCCACCTCCAAGTTTCTCATTTGTGGGAGGTCTTGGATTCAGTTCCCACCAAGGGGAGATGAGGGAGGTCTTGCTCCCAATGATTCTTCCTACCTTCATGGAGTTGCTCAACGCCAGAGAAAGGAGAGGATGATAATGAAGGTAGAGGGTTCATGTGGTGGGAGGAGCAACTTGAAAGGTGATGTAAGTCCTGGTGCTTTCATCCTTTGGGGCTAGTACTGACGAGAATGACTGTGATCAGATCCGGTTTTAACTGTCTAGGGGCTTTGAAGGGTAGTTCATAGGCTCCAAAATTATGAGAGCGTAAGCCCCGATACCTGGATCAAAAAAAGAGGGGAAGGCTGTGCAAAATCAAACTCATCATTGAAAAGTTAAGAGCATCTCCAATGCTATAGTGTGCACGGTGCACATGTGGCATGAAAGATAACCACATAAATATTAGCAAATAAATTATCTCTCTCCTTATTTGAATGATTTTATACAATTTTGGTAAGTTTTCCCCTGCAATGTCAACTTCAATGTCAACATCTAGACGGTCTCCTTGACATTGTGGAGAAAAACTTACCAAAACTGCATAAAAACATTCAAATAAGGAGATAAAGAATTTATTTACTAATATTTATGTGACTATCTCTCATGCCACATGTGTATCGTGCACATTGTAGCATTGAAGATGCTCTAACATAGCAGGGAGAAGGAGGTGAAACCGAAGGTTGCAAAGCAGACTTCCTATTGGACCACGTGCATTGCCACCTACGATGGACCTAATTCACCTGTTTTTGCATTGGAGAGTGCACTTTCTTACAAAGGGTCTACTTGGGTGGAGATGCATTCAAAAAAAAGTCCCAATGGGGACGAATTAATAGGTTATGTTTATTTTAATATTATTATAAATTGTTTTGTAACATGTATAGGTGTACAAGCTTTCGATAGGAGCAGCATGTGCACTTTCTTGGCCATCCGACCGAATCATAATCCAAGTTCTTGATGACTCCACCGACCCCATTGTTAAGGTATGTAACAATAAATTCTACATTCATATCGTTCCTGTTTGCTTTTTCCTTCATGCCTACACCTCTCTCTCCATTGCATTTACTTTCATCATTTTCAATTTCTAGTCTAAACGTGACTTTGTTCATTGAAATAACAAGGAAAGTTCAGGAAATAAGACTAAAACAGTTTCAAAATTTCAAAATAGGACTGTCATGTTTTTTATTCTCAAAATAGGACTATTTATTGTCATGTTTAGAAAATACTGTCATGTTTGAAGTCTGGTACTGCCAAAACATGGCAGTAATTAGTCTTATTTTGGGAATAAAAATGGCAGTCCTATTTTTGGAATTTTCAAACTGTTTTATTCCTATTTTGGGTAATATCTCAAATAAAAATAACTATTCTCCACCGGTTTACTCTTTTCTTTCCTCTATCCACTTTTTCCAACTTTTCAATAACTAAGTTTGAAAATGAATCTTTGGGCTATATTTTTTACCTCTCCAAGCAACGTGCTTTTAGTATCTGGTTTATTACTAAAAAGGGATTGGTTATCTTTCTTCTTGAAAAATATTATTAGGGAATAGATTTTTTTAAATTTTTGGCTAAAGGGTCAAATAGGTACATGAACTAACTTAAAGTGTTCAATTAGCCCCTTATATAGGAGGTTCTGTTCGGCCGTCGCCAATTAGGGTGATTCCCGGTGGAATTTTTTGATGAAATTTTTTGAGCATCTTCTTCATTAAGTCTTGTTTACCCATACCAAATTTCAGCTAAAAGTTCAACCGGCAAGGCAGTCAAATGATTTTTTGAAGATAACTGCGCAGTTAAACAGCGCAGTACATTTCGGAAAATCATTTGACTGTCTTCCCGATTTAATTTTTAGCTGAAATTTGATATGGGTAAACTAGACTTAATGAAGAAGATGCTCAAAACAATTCATCAAAAAATTCCATCAGGAACTGCCCCAATTGGCGAAGGCCGGACAGAACCTCTTAAATAAGGGGCTAATTAAACACTTTAAGTTAGTTCATGTACCTATTTGACCCTTTAGCCTTTATTTTTCTGTATTTAGCACAACAAAGTATTCTTACCCATATTCTTTTTGTTGTAGTCTAACATTTTTTCTATATGTAGAACAATTAATTGTTCTAGAATTATTCCCATTAAAGTTTTTTTATTGGGAAAAAACTGACCCATAATTTGACCATATTTTCTGAATATGAAGAAAACGGAACAGGATGCTTTCAGTTGACTGAACATTTCTATTCTGATATAGTCTGATTTGTTTTAGTTTGTATAGTCTGACTTGTTTTAGTTTGTATAATCTAATCTGTTTACTGTTAAGATTATGTATTATGCATGTTCTACTATTGCGAAATAGAGAAACCAACGCCCTCACTGCCTTCAAAATAATTTTTGAAGATAACTGCGCCAAAATATACATATACAATGCAGTTGTTTTCAAAAATTTATTTGAGTGCATTTTCGATTTAATTCTTAGCTGAATTTTTGTGTGGATAAACTAGACTTGATGAGGAACACGCTCTAACAAATTCATTAAAAAATTTCACCGGAAACCACCCAAATGGCGGCGGCCGGACAGAGCATCTTGTCCCTCCGGCATGACGGGATCTTTTTCCTATATACTACGTATATTAAAGAGAAATGTGTCAAACTGGTACATTAACTTGTCCCCCATAGCATAAAGAGTACATAATTTTATATCATATACCTCAAAGTACATCAACTTGATGATTTAGTGTCACATAAGTATGTCTGTTATGTCGACGTTAGAAATGATGATTTGGCTAAACTTATTGCTGACCTGGTTGGAAAGAGTCCAGCTCATATGTTCTGTTTCCTTAAGGCAATTTTCAATCAATAGTAAATGAAATTGGTCAAAACAGAGGAAGAAAGAACGAGATTGTAATCATTATTTTCTCTTCTTATGGCCATAAGGCCATTTAAGTTTTATCTCTTCCGGCCATCAGAGCTCTTTCTCTTCCATCAGACGTCGTACTTAGCAAACCCACAAACAAACCTCCCCACAATGGACAATGGTTACTTATCGGAGACCCTTCTTGTTCAGAAGTTCGGGAAAGCTATTCGCCAACCTGGCGCCCCATCAAATCGAGCCTCCAGTTTACGCGAATATCAATTTTACTTGACCTAAAGAGTATTAGGATTATAAGTCATTGGCAATTCAATGAGGGGAGCATGACAATTATCAGGTAGTGAGGAAAGTTGAAAGGGAAAGTACAACAAGGTTCTTGAAGAAGTTCACTCTACAAATAATGAAAAATGTATAAGAAGAGGATATACTACGTATATGATTAGTTATATATCACGTGCATCACCTTTTATACCTTACAAAGTATAACTAAATCTAGACTATAAAATAGATTATCAAGTGATTTCTCTAGAAACTATTACATACGAAGTATAAGACAATTAAATTACATGCTGAGTAACTATAAAGCAAAATTTTATGCTCTAATATATTGCTAGAACACACGGCCAATTGTTTAGAAGAGAACAAACACATCATGCAATATACTCTGTAAATTAAAGTACACATGGCAATCTTCACAAAAACGCAAATGTTTCTATTCAACCTAGATGAACTAAACGTGCATAGAATACTTCAAAGACCCTAAGTGTGTTGGCAAAATCCTTCTGCCTCTCTCCATGTTAGTATTACATGTTGCGGTAAGCATAAAAATGAACAAAACAATAAATACGTACATAAATAAGTATATATAAAATGGTAAATGTAATAGACTATAAAAAACGTCTGAGGAAGATTAAATAGGGAGCTGATAGCAACGGAGTACGCCTGTCTAATAAATGAAAACATATACGTAAAATCAATCCTATTGATTCAAAATTATGTAAGTATAATAAATATAATGAACAAAGTCACCAATAAGTTAAAGAAAATATCAAATTATAATTACGTAACATTAATGAAAGCATTCTGATACACACACTAACACAAACACACACATTAATTAATGTATCTAAGGAAATGAAAAGGATGAGAAGCTGCCTTTGAAGACAGAAACTGAAACCCCTTCTAAGTTCAAGGAATTTTGTAGCAAACGAAGAGGAATAAGAAGATAAAATGAAGAAGAAAGAAGGGAATAAAGAAGAGCAACACAGAAGAAGAGAAAAGGCAAAAGAAGAAAGAAGAGAAGATGTAGTAATGTCTTAAAAATTAATTAGGGTTAATAGAAGTGAATATTTGGTGACTGAGATATTAAAAGTATAAGATAAACGGTTAATCCCTTCCATCTCAGCTTCTTTTAACGGTAGAGTTAAAGTTGTACTCAATGAACGCCAAAAAATCAAGTTTAGATACTTTGTTGTATTGATTGCAAGATGATGTACTCTTAATGCTAGTGGAGACAACTTGAGGTACTAAATTAACATTTTCGTCATATATTAATGATCTTGTCAAGCTGGCCTGACAGGATTCGCTGTCCTGCCGCCTCATTTTGATGTGGTTCTCGGTGGAATTTTTGATGAAATATTTTGAGCATGTTCTTCATGAAGTGTATATTTTTTTCATCTAATTTCAACTTAAAATTGAATTAGGAAGGCAATTAAATACAGAGTAAATTATTTAAAAACATTGGGCTTTATATGTATAAACAACACAATGTTTTTCAATTCCGCATTTGTTTGACTTCCCGATCTCATTTTAAACTGATTTTTTTTTAAGATCATCTACATTTCATGTAGAACATACTCACAAAATTTCATTAAAAAAAGTCCACCGGGAATCACCTCAAAATGATGCAGTCAGATGGCGGATCTTGTCAGACCGATTGTTACTCTCTCTATATATGTATATGGGATCAAATAAAAAGTACTCTTAACTTACAAACGCAAATGATTAAGATGCATTGGATCAAGATCTAAAAGTTAAACCAAGCAAGGCGACATTTTGGTAATTAAATCAAACTTTTTCTGGATGCAATACTTTGAATGTTAATATACAACACGTTAAACATCAACATAAAATACAAATGGCATATGGATGCATCGTACAACACACACACATGCATACACATATGTGAAGTATCAGGTACAAACTTTATTTATTGTGCAAATGTTTCTATGATGCATCTTATAACTCTCTGTATTGCATATTAAATTTCGAAGTGTTACATACTCTGTATTTTTCTGTCATGAAATAATAGTAGCATATTAACGTGTAAAGAATTGCATCACAAGAAAGTTTGATTTTATTACAAAATGTCATTGTGCCTATATATCCTATAGATCAACTCATCTAATGATTAAGATGGGTTTGTAGTTTGTAAATTATAAGGTGTTTGTATTTGATCTCTTATACATATGTGTACATGTGTGTATGTGTGTATAATATGTAGGGGTGAGTTCAAGTAAACAATAGTACGTCTTCTCATGAAAAGTAAAATGAATTGAATCTATTTGCAAAAATGTCACAACATGTTACGATATGATTCCACATTTTTGTTTAACATAAAACACAACTCCCAAATCTAAGAGTTGATAAATTGACCGAAAAATAGTGATTTTGACCGAAGAAAAGGTACGTTAACGATCGAATAATGATGCTTTTTTGTATCATCATCTACACTTGGAATTTAGAAAATTTAGGCGTGTAAAACTAGCTTGTACCATATAATTAAGTAGCTTAGGTAGCATGCATGCATGCTCTTTCATTCATTATTATTCCAAAGATCAGGGGCGGCCCTAGTGGTGCAATAAGGGCGACCACTCTAGACCCAAGAAAATAGGAGAAAAAATAAGCTCAAAAATATTTCTTCGTATGTAGTGTGTAAAAGCTTCTTTTTTAATTTTTAAGCTCACTTAATTGGCTCAAAGTTTAAGTTTTAAAATAAATTTAAAGTGGCACGCTTCTCTTAATTCCTTCACATCGTTTCTAGGTTTTATAATCCTTTTAATTACAAAATAACCCAAGTTATGTTAAGCCTCCCAAGTCCAAAACTCTCTATTTGTAAAGCTCATCAAAATTGGTTTGTGGTTTCCAAATTCCAATATCATCAAGAGTAAAGAACGCCACATAGCGGTGAGTGCCTCAGTGGATTTGTTAAGAACTGAAGCCAATCAATCGAGGAGCCCAAACGGTGGTCGGTGATAAAAAAAGCTTCTTTTTTCGAGGCTTCAAACAATCCATCTGTGATCAATGAATTATTTTTGATAGAATGGGTGAATCAGGTTGGGATAAAGAGAGAAAGAGAAGAAGGTTAGAAAAGACAAGGTTAAATTGAAGGGGTCAATGGAAAATTTTGTTTTTGGTAAGAAATTGAATCTTAAAAATTCCATGTGAAACATTTTAAGGTAAACTCTTTCAAATTGAAGATTCTGATGAATTATCTGCGATCAACTGTTTCAAGAAAGGCTTAATGAGTTAGCTATTTTAAACATTGAGCATGAGATATTTGAAAAGGTTGATTATGAAGCAATTATTGATGATTTTGCTTCACAATGATCTACGAGAAAGATTTGTAAGTAATGTTTTTCTTTTTATATGATACTTGTGTTACTTTTCACCAAATATGTAATTTAAATAATAATATTAATAATAAAATGAGTTTTTGTTTTTATTTAATGACCTTTATTAGATAACTTTTGTATAATTATTATTTTAAATAAATATAGTTTGTTATTTGTCTTGAATATTAGCCCAAAATATTATCTTGCCCATAGGCTCGAAAATAGACAGGACCGGCCATACCAAAGATGAGAGTCGTTTTAGCTAGACGGCGATACTAGATGAACGTACTAACCGCGCGTCCAAATCTATGGAGCTAGCTAATACTACCTCCGTTCCGTTTTAATCGCAACATGTTGAATTTTACACTATTTACATGCTCTACTTTGACTACATTTTATGCTATTATTTTATGAAAATTATTTTTTTTAAAAAATATTGTTCAATTCATCTCATTACAAATTTTCAAAATCTGATTTTTAATATTTTTGTACTAATAGAATTAAGATATAAAAACGTGTGTTTAGAAATGTAAAATGTTGACCGTTGGAACAAAAAAAGAAGGGAGATAGTATGATTGATGAAGATGGAGGTGATTAATAAGTTAGAATATAATAATTGGATGTTAGGTTGCATATTAATTAATTACTATCTTTGATGAATTATAATAGTCCATATTACGTATGGTAGCTAGCCATAGCAATGATTGGCTGACTGAGCGTTGGTTTTTGTATGGGAAGAATATGGTGGAAACGGAGTGTAGAAGATGGGGAAGCATTGGGGTTGAGATAAAGTATGAGATTCGCGACAACAGGGACGGGTATAAAGCGGGGGCACTGAAGCAGGGCATGAAGCGAGAGTATGTGAAGCAGTGCGACTACGTCGTCATCTTTGATGCTGACTTTCAGCCCGACCCCGACTTCCTCCTTCGCACCATCCCTTTCCTTGTCCATAATCCTGACCTCGCCCTCGTCCAGGCTCGCTGGAAGTTCGGTACGCATGCATTGCTCTCTATCATTCATTTTCTTTTCAACCAAATTAATTAAATCATCATCCGGCCATCAAAGCTACCTAACACTTGAAAAGATTTCATAAAAACATTCTTACTCCCGAAAAGGCCGGTTCGCCAAATTGACTTTTCTTGATCAATGACAATCAACTTTCACCGATGATATGTTTTAATACGGAATTATTTAGAATATGAAAAGTATATCAAAATGTTACTTATTCAAAATATTTTGGTATAAAATTTATAAATTATATTCAAATTTAATAATTAAAATCATTGTTCAAAGTTTGTCATCATTAATCAACAAAATTCAATACGACGAATCTTTTCCGAATTGTATTAATTCAATATGAATCACACGTTAGGTTTGTGTTAGTAAGTAAAGTATATTGTGACATACATGCATGCTGGCCGGAGATGATTGCGGGTGCATGTGTGAATGCGCTCGAGACATCAATTCATGGGCAAATAAATACAGCATTCGTGGTGGGCCATTGTGGAATTGGGCCGCGTATGATTTTGTTTGTTACTTTGCCTTCCAAAATGTGTACCCTACTCATCAACTCTGGACCACAATTTACCACAGAGTGCCGGCCGGCAAAACTGTACAATCCATCACCTATGTTTTGACTTATGTGCTCGCGGTAGTTAGATTTATTTTCACAAACATTATTTAGAAAGAAATGCTACCCCATTCATTTTGGGTAGTACCTCACTCATTGAGTGACTCACAAAATTCTAACCCTACAAAATAATTGCTTCACTTTGACTCATTACCCTTGTGAATCACAAAAATAGGGATACAAAATGGGATAACTTTATATTTTTCCTTATTTAGAATTTTTTTTTAAGAGCTGTGTTAGGTGTACAAATTTTTGTGTACATCTTTTGTAACCCCGACTGTCTTGTGCATAAAAAATTGTCTGTCCACGGATAATTCTACAAAGTTGTCTGTGAGTAGACAATTCTATATGCGTGAGACAGATGAATGTACAAAATGTGTACATAAAGCATTTTTCTCTTTTTAATGACCCTTGTTTTGGTTTTAGAGCCTGACCACCTAGTTTATTCACCAAATATATAAAATTTGATTTCACCGCGTTCATATCAAAGTAATTAAAACTGAAGTTACTTTGCTCAATGAATTGTTCGGAGTTACTTTATAAAATCATTTTATTTACTTTTCATATAATTTTTTCTTTATTTCATTAATAAATTAAATTTTAGATTTACATTTTGCATAGTTTTAGCAAATCCAGTTACTTCATCTAGAATTTCACCAGTTTCAATAGATTAGGCTGGTTCGGTCCATTTCAGTATTACCAAACGGTCTCTTAATTTTAAAATTGAATAATATGGTAGATTAGTGAAGAAAGATAGAAACAAGACAAATAAAAAATTCATAATTTTATAATGAAACTATCAAAGTTATTTAAATACATACAAAAGTAAAGTTGACAAAGTCTAACGGGACATGGATAGTTTTTGAAATTCTAAGATTGTTTTCGTCTTTTAAGTTTTTAATTGATAGTTATCATATGTTTTGAGTCTTGGATGGATTTTTACGGTGGATGATGTTCCGTTGAATTGGTATCCTGGATCCTTATATACTTTTTGGATCCCTTAAAATTTTGTCCACTCTTCTCTACCGGAGATTTCACTAACTTTGATAATTTCTCTTTCAAGTAAAACATTTGTGATTCTAATTAATTTTCTTTTTTTGCACATAAATTTCAATCACATAGTTTTTACTTTGTTAGTATTATAGCGATGAAATTTGATAAAATTTTAAGGGAGGAAGATATAGGGTGTAGTAGGTAGAAGATGAATTGATAGGTAAGTGATGTGCAGTGAATGCGGACGAATGCTTGATGACGAGAATGCAAGAAATGTCACTGGATTATCACTTTACAGTGGAGCAAGAAGTTGGCTCTTCCACCTATGCTTTTTTTGGCTTCAATGGTACGTCGTACGTCCCCTAGCCTCACTCACTGCATTATAATTTACACACACAACTTATTCATGGCCTTCCGCACCAATAATTGTATCGTTGCCCCGCCCACCGCACGCTACTTACGCTTACCTTCCACTTCATATATACTCCCTCTCTCTCGCTTGCCTCTTTTACATGTTCCTGCAGTTTCTAATTCCGGAATAAATCGATACTTTTAAATCATAATTTACTTATCGAATTTTTAAAATAATACACATACTCCGTATAATATTACGGTCTTTCTTCATAAATATTACGGAGTAATAAATTAATTTCAAAAGATAAAAAATATGACTTGTTTTTAATATTTTCGAAAAAGCGACATATTTAGTGATTCATCATCTATTAGTGATTTGTCACACTGAAATAAACAAAGTGACTCTTGTCCGATTACTTATACATAGTGATTAGTCATATTTTTGTTCAAAAGCATAATTGGTCATATTTTCACCCGATAAAACACTTAATAACACACATGTCATTTTTTCTAATATCATACTTATCATCATTGATCTCATTATATTATATGATCTCATTACATTATATATTGATCATATCAATCTTACTTCTCAAAATATGCTCAAATTAAACTACATATTATTTAATTATTGTCTATATGGATGGAGACAAGACTACCTCCAAAAAACAAAATCACGTTGTGTATCCATATGTATAAATATAGTGAAATTTTAACATTGGCCCCTCCATATAAATTAAAGCCTCGGCCACCCCAACCTACCATTTTTTGGCTCCCCGCTGATTGTCCAAATAATCGTGTTATTTTTCGATGGAAACTTTAAGTCGGGGCGGGGTTATTAAGAAATACTCCCTCCGTATTATAATAAATTCTCACTTTCTCTTGAAGCGTATCAAAATAATTGTCTAATTTCCGTTTTTGGAAAGAAATTGACCTCAAAAGTAGTTACAGTACACTTCAACAAAGTAAACAGTACTCCTACAACACCAAAAATCTCATACTTTTCAGAAAGCATACGGTGAACCTATAAATTATCTTAATGAGACACTTATTTTAATTGGGAGGTAGTATATTGTCAACTAAATAACCCATAACACAAACTCAAGGGAAATAAAGAGCTCATGATGACTTGTGTTTTCGATTTATCACCCTTGTTAGGCATGACAGAGTGTCGGAGCAGGGCGGGTACCCGAACCCACTCTATGACTTTTCTAGGTGGATCCACCCGTCCCGTGATCCGTATGAGTCCAAACTTATTGTCCCATGACCCGCCCTATGCAGGGCGGGTCCGCCCCGCCGTGACATATATTACATAATATGCATTTCTATTTTGCGTGAAACCATTATCATTTGAATGTAAATAAAGTTTATCTTTAAATAATAACAACAACAACAACAACAACAATAATAATAATAATAATAATAATATAATAGTAATAATAATAGTAATAATAATAATAATAATAATAATAATAATATATTTTATCAAAGTCACAATACGATAAGATTTTCAAAAACATAGAAAAATGTACTTAGACTCAAACATATAGTTAGTCTATTTAGATTAAGAATTGACTATGTGAATGAAATATATAAAAAAGACATTGAAAATTCGTCGTTCATCTCATTCAAATATAAATATTAATATATTATAGACTAAAGAATTTATGATTTATCATACACACATATGTTTAGGTATAATATAATAATATACTACATATTTTTTTTTTTAAAAAAATATGTATACTTATATATTGAGCGGGGCGGGCGACACAGGTCAATACTCATACCCGGACTCGCCCCATTGTATGTGCAGGGCGGGGCGGGCCCCATTTGCAAGACTGGCCCGCCCAAAATATCTCGGGCCAGAGCGGGTCATTGCCAGCCGAATTTTTTACATGCCTAAGCCTTGTCAGCTAATTTTTTCACATATCACGTAGAGCCCGTTTGATAACACTGAGGGCCCATTTGGTGACCCTTGTTTTTTGTTATCAGCCTTATCAGTCAACATTTTCACCAAACATGTAACTTTTGTGTAATAATCAAAATAAGTAAGTTTAAGATTGATTTTCTGGCTGACCTGATTGAAGTTTCTATAGAGGACGACTTTAACCATCTTATATAATTTTTCTTTATTTTATTAAAATGTTAAAATAAAGAAATAAAAATAAAAAAATGAAAAAAATAAAGTGAAAGGTTAAATATAAAAAATTATAATGTGATATCTTTTAAAAGATGTATAATATACAAATAAATCATATATACTTATAAACTTTGACATTCTTAAAAATACCAACATGTTTTCAAATAATTGCAACATGTTGAAATCAAGACTATTCACTAGCTTGTTCTACTTTAGTAACGTTTTATTTTTTAATGTATTAATTCTTTTAAATGTAGTGTTTAATTGGTTTCATTGTAAATCTTTAAAATATCGTTCTTTTTTTTATACTACTAAAAAATTGAATATATATATATATATTATATTAATGGTCAAAATTGTGTATCGACAAACGTGAAATGAGAATGTTACGCTGAACCTACCTAGGGATGATGAAGAGGCACCAAGTATCTATATATGCCAATGACATAGAATCTAAGAGTCCGTTTGATCAGGGGCGGAGCTACATGTAACCCCAAGGGGGCCATTGCCTGAACCTACCTAGGGATGATGAAGAGGAACCAAGTATCTATATATGCCAATGACATAGAATCTAAGAGTCCGTTTGGTCAGGGGCGGAGCTACATGTAACCCCAAGGGGCAAGGGGACCATTGCCCCCCCCCCCCCCCCCCCCCCCCATTTTAATTTATTTTATTAATTTTACCTTAAATTTTTTTTTGCCCCACCACCAAATTAATAAATAGATACATATTAGTATATATTTATATAAAATTAATTCTGACCCCCCTTACCTTAAAGTCTCGCTCCGCCCCTGTGTTTGGTGATCTTGTTTTTCGATTTATCAGTCAATTTTTTCACCGAATACACAACTTTTGATTTCGCGCGCTGAATTGTATAATAATTAAAATAAGTAAGGGAGAACTATCAAATAAGCCCTCGAACTTTCATAAAAAGTGCAAATAGGCCCTTTTACCGGAGGCTAGGAGAGCATGGGTCGTGTTCGGGCGGGTCCGGTTCAAAATGGTAAACCCGTTCGGGTATCGGATTGATAATTTCAAACCCTACCCTATCAAAAAATTTATCGGGTTTTTTGAGTTGAAGAAATTTGGGTTGCGGTCGGGATGATACGGTTTTCGGGTCCATTCGGATTTTAATTTATTATTGTTGAAATTGTGATAAATAAAATGGTAATTGGTAAAAATATCATTCAAAGTTAGACTAGTATAACATTCAAAGTAATAGTTGTATAAATACGGTAGTCGACATATTTGAACATGTAAAATAATGATATACGGTGATTGACATACTACGTATTTGATATTGTGATAAATAAAATGATAATTGATCAAAATATCATTCAAAGTCATAACAATGCAACATTCAAAGTTATAATTGTACAAATACGGTAATTGGAATATTTGAACATGCATAATATGGTTATTGACATACAATAATGAGATATATTTGAACATGCATAATAATTCAAAGTAGTATATATATACTACGCTAGTTCGGTTTTTCGGGCGGCTCGGGTAGCATAATTAGTAACCCTACCCGCTACCCGCTTAAGTCTTGGGTTGCAAGAATCGGATCGGTTTTGGGTATTTCGGGTCAGGTTTTCCGACCCCAACAAAAAAAATCGGATATATCCGATCGGGTCAATCGGGTAGGGTCGGGTTTGCTTTCCCCTACCGGAGGCTTTGTCCGGATGTCGCTATTTGAGGCGATTTCCGGTGGAATTGTTTGATGAAATTTTTTGAGCATCTTCGTCATTAAGTCTAGTTTATGCATACCAAATTTCAGCTAAAAATGCAATCGGAAAGGCAGTCAAATGAATTTTTGTAGATAACTGCGCAGTTAGACAGCGCAATATATTTCAGAAAATCATTAGACCGCCTTCCCGATTGAATTTTTAGCTGAAATTTGGTATGAATAAACTAGACTTAATGAATAAGATACTCAACAAATTTCATTAAACAATTCCACCAGAAACCGCCCCAAATGGCGACGGCCGGACAGAGCCTCCTATAAAAGGGCTTATTTGCACTTTTTATGAAAGTTCGAGGGCTTATTTGATAGTTCTCCCAATAAGTAGAATTAGAGTTACCTTAACTTCTAGCTGAATTTACTATAACGTAGTATTTTAAATTGGAAAAATTGACAAGAATAATCTCATTTTTCACTGGTGTTCTCATAATAATCTCACCTTTACGTAATCTCATAATAGTCACACCTTGCATCCCATCTTCTTTCATTGGACCATGACCTGTTGATGATCTACTATACCAGGTTTTTTACCCTTTCTTTGAAAACCTTTTATAAATAATCTCACTTTTCACAAATCTGCTCAAAATGCTCCCATGTTTAATTTTTTCTTTTTTCTCCCTAAAATTTTTCTTTCTTTATGTTTATCCCTAGACACTTTTTCATTGGACCATGACCTGTTGATGATCTACTATACCACGTTTTTTACCCTTTCTTTGAAAACCTTTTATAAATAATCTCACCTTTCACAAATCTGCTCAAAATGCTCCCATGTTTAATTTTTTCTTTTTTCTCCCTAAAATTTTTCTTTCTTTATGTTCATCCCTAGACACTTTTTATTCCTTTTTCTATCCTTTTGTTCTTATTTCTTTTCCATTTTTATTATTCTATTTCTTACTCTATTATGAGATTTTTTTGTAAAATTTCTCTTCAAAGTAATTTTTTTTGTCGTTTTCTTTTGCTTTTCGTATTTTATTTCATTTCCCTTTTTATGTTTTTCTTCTTAATCATTCTCTTCTTATTAAAGATCTTTTTCTCACTTTACTTTTTGTTATGTTTTTTTTTCACTTTTCCACTTTTATATTTTCACTTTTAAAATAAGATCATTAATAAGAAAAGAATGATTAAGAAGAAAAATATAAACAGGGAAATGAAATAAAAATTCGGAAAGAAATAAAAATACGGAAAGAAAAAGAAACCGACAAAAAAGAGCTATTTTGAAGAGAAATTTTACAAAAAAAATCTCCACTAATAGAGTGAGAAATAAAATAATAAAAATTGAAATGAAATAAGAACAAAATGATTGAAAAAGATAAAAAAAGTCTAGGGATGAAAATAAAGAAAGAAAAATTTTAGGGAGAAAAAAGAAAAAATGAAACATTGGACCGTTTTGAGCAGATTTGTGAAAGGTTGGGTTATTTATATAAGTTTTCAAAGAAAGGATAAAAAACCTGTTATAGTAGGTCATCGACAGGTCAGGGTCCAACGAAAGAAGATGAGGTGCAAAGGTGGGATTATTCTGTGATTATGTAAATGTGGGATTATTTTGAGAAGACCAATGAAAGGTGAGATTATTCTTGTCAATTTTGCCTTTTAAATGTAATTTTTTCATAATTCGGTCGAATCAGCTGATCTAGATACTTGTCAAAATTTTATAAATGCAAACAAAATCAGATTGAGTCAAATATTAGTGTTATGGAGGGTGTAAGCGAGAAACACAAAAGTGAAATGATTTGGGAGAAATTGTTGTGGATGGATGAATGATACGATAGAGGCATTTCTGAAGTTAGTTAATCCGTGGTGGAATGCAGGAACAGCAGGTGTGTGGAGAATTGCTGCCATTGATGAAGCAGGTGGATGGAATCATCGGACGACAGTTGAGGATATGGACTTGGCTGTGCGAGCTAGTCTCAAAGGCTGGAAATTCTTGTACCTCGGTAGCATCATGGTAAATAAATAAATTACGTTTTCTCACTCCTTACGTCCTTAGATATACAAACAAAAGGATGACACCCCATCCCAGAGGGTCCCTCAACTCCGACCAGACCGTATGTTGGGAAGATGTAAATTGAACTATAATCCCAATCTGACAGATAGAGAGTGGGATTGTCTCCAGTACTTGCAGAGCCTCTATTTATTTTTAGCATAGTAACATCTAATCAGTGGCGGAACCAGAACAAAATTTGAGCAGGGGCTAAAAAAATTTTGAATCACTAGTTGGGAAGATTCATAATCTGTATCGTTTTAGGGTATATTTATGGTAATTTGATCTCAAATTACTATATAATATTATTTCCATTTGCATGAAGTAACACTTTATTTGTAACTATATATAATTCACACACAAGCGCACACATACATATACACATCAACTTAAATATCGACATTTATTCATTTGTATAACTGATTTGTTAGTGCCTAAACAAAATAATAGACTACATTTATTAAATGAGTTTATTTCGATTTAATACGCTTTCCCTTTTATTTTAGAATAAAAAGGTTTAAATAGAAATATAGCTAAACATGTAGAGGAAGATAAATTAATAACATACAGAGTATATATATAAGTTACTAACTTATCAAGAAAATAATAATTTTTTTCTCTTTTCAAATAGCGTTACAAGTAGGTTATTTATTTTTTAAAAGGATATTTTATTTTTTTGCAAAAGTATTACATGAATCTAATTATACTCATATAAAGTCAGATAGTTCAAATATCAACAAGAAATTTTGGCATATTTGTACTAATCCAAGGAATAAATATAAAATTCAAGTAGTTTTGAAAAGTTTATTGATAAACTTTTTATAAAATGATATAGGTCAATGTTTGAAGGGGGGAAGCAATAGCTAAAAGTCATTTTTTGTTGTTCTTGTACTAAACAAAAATGTAAATAACATGTTAATATTCGAAAAAGTACAAAATACGGAGTAATTATTTTGAATTTGAAAAATAAAAATGCAACATAAAAGTAAAAGAAATGTGGTAGGAAAAATATTAAAACTAATAACATTCCAAAAGGTTAAGAGATAAGTAGAGGAAGAAGTGTAATGGAGTAAGTAATTTAAAAAGAAACTGAGCAAGGATTTGAACCCGGGTCTCCCCGCAACTTTAAAACTGTTCAGCCATCTATGCTACTCCAACTATTGAGTTAAACACGGGTCAGTTAGTACATATTATTATTGAGACGGGGCTGAGCATGTATATATACATATATATACACTAAAACCTCCGGCGAACAGGGGGCGGCAACACCGGCTCGCTCCCCCCTAGTTCCGCCCCTGCATCTAATCGCAGTTGACAGGATTCGAATCTGGTACCTAACCCTTGTGGCACTCCCTTTCTACCAGTTGAGCTACCACTCCTTAGATATACAAGTACTACTTATGGTAAATTTCGGTCCCGTTATGATTGTCTCATTTTATCTTATCGGTTCATCCCACTAAGATTGTCTCATACCAAATTTGGTAAAGTTTATGTGGGTCTAAATCATTCTTACTTTATTCTTACTTTATCAATTCAATATCAACCACATAAACCATTTTTTATTGATTTGCGTGTCACTCCCTCTTGTCCCATTTTTAGCGGGACGGAGAGAGTATAAAATACGAAGTACTCCCTCCGTTCCTATTAAAACTTCCAACTTTCCTCTTTTGTTCGTTCCAATTAAAACTTTCACTTTCCTTTTTTAGTAAAGAATTTGTGGTTCACAACATTTCTTACACATTTCTCTCTCCTCTGCACAACTATCCACCACACAATACCCACTATCTTAAATTATGTGTCAAACCTATTTGAAAGATATAATAGGAACGTAGGTAGTATGTTTTTACACTTAGATACTCAATCGTTAGCACATAGTTATATACTATTCGCTCCGTCCCTTAAAACGTTGCCAAGTTTGAGTAACACGGGGATTAATAAAGTAAAAATTATGTGGTGAAGGTTTGTGAAAAGTAGAGAGAATTAAATGGAACAACAAATTCTTTACTTAAAAGGGAAAGTGACAAAGTTAGCGAGACATCCAGAAAAAGAAAGTTGTCAAAATTGTAACTTGTAAGGGACGGAGGGAGTATAATTTATACCGATCGAGTAGTATTTATTGATTATCTACGTACGTAACTGCAATTTTGTTGTAGGTGAAAAATGAATTGCCAAGTACATTTAAGGCCTTCCGCTATCAACAGCACAGATGGTCATGTGGCCCAGCCAATCTCTTAAGGAAAATGTTCATGGAGATAGTTAGAAACAAGGTTAAGCTAGTATTCCTACTCTATTCTATTGTCGTTTCATTTTTGTTTCAATGACAAGACTGTTTTTTTTTTAAAAAAATTAATGAAAAGACCTACTACCTTCCTTCCACAATTAAATTCTCACTTCCACTTTTTCTGTCAAACTTTGTAAACTTTAACCGCTAATAATTCAAAATTTACACTACTTTATCATAAAAGTTAATTTTATATAGTTCATTTCAATGTATACTATTTAAATGTTAATTCATATTCAGGGACGGATCCAAGATTTCGAGTCAAGGAGGGCGAAAATTTTCGTTAGTGTAGGAGATAAAAAAAATCACTAGTGTAGCGGGACAAATTTTTTTTCTGGTGTAGCGGGCGAAATTTTTCACTAGTATAAGGCTGCGGCTATTTTTTTTCAAAAAAAAATCATTAATACATACATGACGACATTTAAATCTATATATTACATTCTAAGTTTAGACAATGACAAAATAACTTAAATTTTATAATTGGAGTGCTCTAGAAAAAGTATTGATACATTAAAGCATAAGAAATGACAAATCAATGAAAAATGATAAAAAAATAAAAAAAATGATATATAACATTTTATTTAAATATAAAGAGTTTATAAGGTACACATTCACCACTACTTTTAAAATAACTTCAACATTGTTTAACTACATGAGTGTTCATAAGTCACAAACAGTTCTTTTAATATTACAGTAGTATTTATGATATTATTATTTTTAGAATAATATTATATTGCTAATTCATTCATATACATAGTGCATATTATATTTGTATTAATGCTAAAATAATTAAAGTTTATTATCTATGAATAAAGTCTTTTTTAGAACGTAAGAAGTAAATGAATAATGTAATTCAATGTCAATAAACATTTATAATTTGGATTACACTTCACATTATCTAAAATCTTTGTAGCTAGAGTGTCTGGTATTTAATATCGTTTGATATATATTTTTCAAAATTGTTTACTAGTTATCGAATAAAGATAATTAAACATTACAAAACTAAGAATTTTTATATAATAAGTATCCTAAATCTCAAATAATGACTTCTTCTATTGTTTATTTAAGTTATGTAAATTATTTTAGATGATCCTTTTTATATCTCCAATTAAGTATTACATTATGTAAGACTATATATTAATTTTATAAACTAAAAGTTAAGGGGGGCAATATTCAACAAAAAGTTAAGGGGGACAATATTCAACAAAAAGTTAAGGGGGCGAATCTAATTAAAGTATCAAAATTTTACAAAAACAATTACATATTAAAGTATCATTCCATCCCTGTTCATATTAGGTTTTAAAAGTGTATTCCTTTAGACATTTAAAGTCAAATATCCACCTACAAGACCGTAAAAGTCAAAGTAATAACTTAATTGTCTGGACAGAGACCGTATATATTAAGATAATCACCGCATGCAAAACAGTGACCAAAAAGTTGTTACATCACACAGTAGATTTACGGAGCTTCATACGGCTCCCTTATGGGGTATCGGAGCCATATTTCTAGACAGGTCTAGGCAAGTACGTATTTTGACCTATTCGAACCCTGTTTTTTGGTTGTTTTCCGCTTCCACTTTCATCATGGCTTGACCATCCGCCATCAACACTTCCTTGAACATTTTGAAACCGTCTTCTCGGCGATAAAATTACCCACTAACGAGCAACACGGATTCCCTTCCTATGTAGCACGGAAAATAAAGTCATACTTCATCTAACTCAAAAAGGAGTGATTTCTCTAATCCGGCCACCTCTCAACTCGTATTATATTACAAGTGCATCATTCGTTCTTGTATCATTGTTGAAGATCTAGAAAAATACCCTCTAATCTCATCCCCTTTTTGGAATTTCCATGCTAAAATTTGATGGAGGGGATGCTTACACAGGAAAGCATCTGTAATATGAAAATGAAGTAATAGGTCCGTATATAATTGTATGTATATATATGTATACTTATGATGGATATTGCATTGCAGAATGTGAATTTGTGGAAGAAGATCTACGTAATATACAGTTTCTTCTTCGTGAGGAAGGTGATAGCCCATATTACGACGTTCGTGTTTTACTGCGTAGTGATGCCAACAGCTTGTCTGGTGCCTGAGGTGGACGTTCCCAAATGGGGCGCCGTTTATATTCCCGTCATCATCACTCTCCTCAACAGTGTTGGAACTCCCAGGCCAGTTCACTTCCTTGAATTATACTTCGTATTGAATTGCTAGCTCCATCACCTACCTACCAGCTTACCTGGCCTAGCTAGCTTGTTCAAAATTATACTCCCATCATTAATTATATACTAGTATTTATTTATAGGTCTTTTCACTTGATATCTTTCTGGCTACTGTTTGAGAATGTTATGGCACTCCATCGCACTAAGGGTACGGTGATAGGGTTGATGGAGATCGGGCGGGTGAATGAATGGATTGTCACTGAGAAATTAGGAGACGCCAAACCAGCTTTCAAGTTCAAATCAATTGGGGAAGCTATTAAAAAACCACGCTTTAAGATTGCAGAAAGGTAATTAATAAGTACGCGTAAATAATTCTTTCTCGCCCATCCAATTACATCCATCACTCGCGTTATATACATAGAGAGTCATTCTTGTGTCCATCAGCCTTCCGTGCGAACACCGTCCGAACACCGCCGTTTGGTGCGATTCTCGGTGGATTTTTTTGTTGAAATTTTTTGAGCATGTTTCTCATCAAGTCTAGTTTATCCATACCAAAATTTAAACTTAAAATTCGATCGGAAGGCAGTCAAATAATTTGTTAAAGTTAACTGCGCAAAATTGTACATAGAAAAATACAGTCAACTTCAAAAAATGACTTGAATGCCTTCCCGAACGAATTTAGAGCTGAAATTTTTTGTGAATAAACTATACTTGATGAACAACATACTATAAAGATGTCATCAAAAATAGTATAGAGATGACCAAAATAGTACGTAACTTATGGTGACTGATATTTTAGCATAGAGATGACCATGATATAAGAGTGATAGTATAGTTACTTGTAGTCATGTTTTTATCTATGAATTTTAATTTATTCCCGTATTATATACTTTAAGGAATTGATGATGATCATATATTTTATTATTATGTTATAATTGAACATGCAGAATCCATGTGGTTGAGCTTGGGATGGGTGTATATCTCACGATTTGTGGCTTGTATGACCTGATCTATGGGAGACAATTGTATTTTTGGTACATTCTACTTCAGGGGATGGCTTTCTTTATAATTGGATTTGGATATGTGGGCACCATCGTTCCCACCTCCTAGCCTAGCCTAACCTAGCCTAGCCTAGCAAACTTCAACTCTCATCTAAGCGAGCTATATATATATATATATATATATATATATATATATATATATATATATATATATAGATGCGTCCTTAATTGGTATTTCAAGAAAATAATGTTCGATCAAGATTTCAATGCATGGAGAGATAATAGAGAGAATTAATTAAGAGGCCGGCCGGGTTTGCTATTGGGCGCATGGACGGTAGCTGTTTTGTTTTGAATCCAAGAACTAGAGCTAGAAAGGGCCGGTCTTATCAGCTCTGGCATATATGCTTCCAGTAAATTGTACCATTCGATTTTACTATTCATTTTACAAATAAATAAATATATATATATCTGTAATTTGGCTTCCCTCTTTGTATGCAATCATATTGTACTGTAAAAAAAACACTGTTTCGACCATTCATTCATATTCTTTAGTTCAGATTGAATAATCAATACAATACATTCAAAGTCCGGCCAGTTTTGTCACGTATAGTAATAACATGATAGTATCAATTATGCATACTTATCATCCCCTGACAAATCCTTTTCATTACGGTTTCAGTAAACTTGCTCTGGAATAACAGGATCGTGCTAATATGAGAGAAAAACACTTCTATTATTTTCAAGAATAGAAAGAAGAGACATACAATTCTAACTAAAAACTCTCAAAAACACCTCACATATCTCTCAAGGATATTCAAACTCTTTTTGGTTGTGCTATGATGATCTATGATCTAATTTACTTCAGGATAGAAAGACTCTCCAAGCTCTCTATTTATAGCACCAAAACTCGGTACTAGGAAGGTGGAAGGAAAGTGGGATTAAACATGGGGAAACTTCAATGGTGGTTGAGGAAGTCTCCTTTGTCACTCTTGCACATGGAGGAAGCTTCATGGATGTTGCTCACAATTGGATTCTTGAAATTTGCTTGTGCTTGGATGTCCTGGAAATTGAATTTTTCAATTCTCCCCTTCCAGGCATATTCAAATCAAGCATCTCAACTATGTCTCTGCATAGCTGTAGCTTATCTCGTGTCACCACCTTCGTTAGCATGTCTGATTGATTCTCCTTGGTGTTGATCTTCACTAGTCTGAACAGTTGTTGATCAATCGTCTCTCGTATCCAGTGATACCAAACATCAATATGCTTTGTACGAGAATGGTACATAGAGTTCTTGCTCAAGTCTAGAGCACTTTGACTGTCACAATGTACCTTGTATTCTTTCTGTTGGATCCCAAGTTCTTGGAGAAAGCGCTTTAGCCACTACATTTCCTTACCTGCTTCAGCGGCAGCAATGTATTCTGCTTTTGTTGTAGATAAAGCAACACACTTCTGCAATCTTGATGCCAAGAAACAGCTCCCTTTGCAAAAGTGTAGATATATCCTGAAGTAGATTTTCTACTATCAATATCTCCAGTCATATCAGCATATGTGTAGCCTTCCAAGATTGGATCAACTCCTCCGTAGCAAAGACATAACTTTATGATACCTTTCAAGTACCTGAGAATCCATTTGACTGTCTCCCAATGCTCCTTCTCGGGGTTAGAGAGAAAACGACTCACTGTACCCACTGCATGTGCAATGCCTGGCCTTGTGCATACCATGGCGTACATCAAACTTCCAATTGCTGAAGAATATGGAACTGTTGACATCTCCCTGATCTCTTCCTTAGATTTGGGACATGTTCTTTTGCTCAACTTGAAGTGATTCGCAAGTGGAACACTAACTGGTTTGGCATCATTCATGTTGAATCTCTCAAGTACTCGTTCAATGTACTTCTCCTGAGATAGCTATAACTTGCGATTCTTCCTGTCTCGAGTGATCTGCATCCCAAGAATCTGTTGAGCAGGTCCTAAGTCTTTCATATCAAAAGACTTAGAGAGTTCTTTCTTCAGCTGGTTTATCTTCACTGCATCTTTCCCAACGATCAACATGTCGTCTACATACAATAGAAGAGCAATGAAGGTACCATCTGAAAGTTTCTTGATGTATACACATTCATCTGCAGTAGTCTTCTTGTTCCACTCGAAGTTCCTTGACTCTTCATGCATGAGTCAAACTTCTTATTCCACTGCTTTGGTGCCTGCTTCAAGCCATACAAACTTTTAGATAACTTACACACAAAGTTATCATTTGAGTTCTCAAAACCTTCTGGATGTTGCATATAGATTTCTTCTTTCAAATCTCCGTGAAGAAATGTTGTCTTCACATCCATCTGTTCAAGTTCCAAGTTCATACTTGCTGCCAAGCCAAATATAACTCGGATTGAGGTCATCTTGACAACTGGTGCAAAGATCTCATCAAAGTCAATTCCTTTTCTTCTGCTGGTATCCTTTGACAACCAACCAAGCTTTGTGTTTCACCACTTGTCCGCTTGCATCCTTCTTCAACTTGAACACTCATTTGTTTCTTAGTGCTTTCTTCCCTTTAGGAAGTTCTACGATCTCATAAGTTTGATTTTTCTGCAGAGATTCTAACTCATCCTGCATTGCTATTAGCCATTTTTCTTTATCCTTATGAGACACAACTTCTTGAAAACTCTCCGGTTCTCCATCATCAGTTAACAAAAGATATTCGGATGATGTGTACCTTTTCGATGGTATATGGCCTCATTCAGATCTACGAACAGTTGGAACCATTTGAGAAGAGCTACCATCATCTGTGCCTGACAGGGTGGGTTGTGACTCCCCTTGCTCTGCACTCTCTTCTGTCTCCTCATCCTCTTTTTCTTCTGTGTTGTTTTCATGTACTTCGTCATTGTTTCTCAAGAACAATTCAGGTGCTTCATTTGAAACATGAGCACCCTCATTTGACTTCCGAGACATTGTGGGTTTTTCAATGTCTTCTATTGTCAAATCTTCATGGAACACAACGTCCCTGCTTCTGAACACTTTTTTCTCCTTAGGATCCCATAACATGTATCCAAACTCTTCATTTCCATAGCCAACGAAAATGCATGGGATAGTTCTTGCATCATGCTTCTGTCTGAGCTCTTTGGATACATGTGCATACGATGAACATCCAAATACTCTAAGATGTGAGTATGTAGGATCCTTACCTGTCCATAGCCTCTCTGGAACTTCAAAGTTGAGTGGTACTGAAGGTGATCGGTTGATAAGATAGCATGCGGTGTTGACTACTTCTCCCCAAAATGACTTTGGAAGATTAGCCATATTCAGCATGCTCCGGGCTCGCTCCATGATAGTCCGGTTCATTCTTTCAGCAACGACATTGTGCTGAGGGGTGCGTGGTAGTGACTTCTCATGTCGAATGCCATATGTTCTACAATATGCATCGAATGCCCTGGAAGTATATTCGCCTCCATTATCTGATCGGAGACATTTCAACTTCTTTCATGTTTCACGTTCCACCAAGACGTGAAATGTCTTGAAGCACTTGAACACCTGATCTTTAGTTATCAGGAAATACACCACACTTTCCGAGAAGCATCATCCATAAAAGTCAGAAAATATATGCTTCCACCGAGTGATTCCACCTCCAAAGGACCACATACATCAGAGTGTACCAAACTTAACAACTCCGATCTTTTAGTTGAAGTAGAACTAAATGATATTCTATGTTGCTTACGAAATAGACAATGGCTGCAAGGACCCAGTGCAACATTCTTGTCAATGTTGATAAGGTTCTTCTTCATCAAGGTAGTCAACCCTTTCTCACCGATGTGACCGAGTCTCAGGTGCCACAGATCATGAGAAGCCTCCTCAGCAATGTTGAGGCTATCCGTACAAATCCTCAAATGGGTTTGTACAATGTGCCACAAACATGTCCTCAAGCGATTGTCAAAACGCCCTTTGACATTTTCCATGTGCCCCTGCTAAAGTGGTTTTCATACCCATGTTCGTCAAGACATACCACTGACATGAGATTGAGCCGAAGGTCTGGAACATGTATGACATCCTTCAAAGTGATTGTGCTCCCACTAATTGTCTTTATTTGTACATCACCAATTCCAGCTATTACAGATGAACTGGAATTACCCATCTTCACCGCTCCATAGTCTCCAGCTTTGTAAGTTGTGAAGTAATACATGTGGGGAGTAATGTGGTAAGATGCTGCAGTATCTACCACCCATTCAGTGTCCTCTCTTGAGACGTGCAGACATGTTTCATCATTGGTAGTACAGTACGCTACATCACCCGAGATTTTGATGAGCGCTTCATCACCCTTGTTCTTCGTTTGTGAATTGCTCTTCCCTCGCTCCTCTAGCAATTTGTGGCAATTCTTCTTCATGTCATCCTCTATACCGAAATGGTGGCAGGTATAATAAGGTTTCCGGACATCTGATGATCTCCCCCGACTTTTGCCTCTGCTTTGCCACTTTCCTCTATTGTTTCTTTGTGGCTTTCCTTGTGATCTTCCTCGATTCTCCGTCACAAGGGCATGAGTCTGATCTCTGCTCATGTCTTTCCTCCTTGCCTCCTCATTGAACAATGCATCCTTGACCACAGACATGATAAGTTTGCCATCTAGGGCCGAGTTGCTGAGAGTAACAACTAGTGTCTCCCAACTATCAGGAAAGGAACTAAGAAGTAGTATAGATTGCATTTCATCTCCAAGTGGCATTTCTACACTAGATTGTTGATTTACCAGACTCTGAAATTGACTAGTATGTTCAGCAACAGAAGTTCCACTTTTGAGCTTCATATTGACAAGGCGCCTCATCAGTAAGGCCTTGTTCCTAGCGGTCTTTGCCTGGTACATATCTTCAAACTTCTTCCAAAGGGCGTAAGCGTCGGTTTCTTGTGCAACATGGTGGAAGACACTATGGTCAATCCATTGTCGGATTTGACCAATAGTTTTTCTATTAATTCTCTTCCACTCTATTGACTTGGGTGGGTCAGGATTAATACCTTTCATCTCTATTGGATCAAAAAGGTCCTTACAGCTAAGGAAATCTTCCATCCGAGGTTTCCATAGCGTGTAGTTGGTAGCCGTGAGCATAACCATAGCTCCGGAAGATGAAGTTGACTCGTCAAAGGTCATTTTCACCTTCTAAAAAAAATTTTATTTTATGTTTGAGAAAATTCGGAGCATAATTTTGAAAAGAAAACAGCACTGTTGCATCCGGAACGGCCAAAAATGGTGGAGTAGACACTTTCGGGGTCAAAATACAATTTTTGAAAAATTATAGATGGAAATTATAATTTTCCAAAAATTGAGGGACCAAACTGCAAATTTTCAAAAATTAAAACTAAGCAGTAACGTGGCATGTGACGTGGCAGTGATGTGGCGCTAACTAGACACTGATGTGGCAGCTGACTGGGCACTGACAGAACATGACAGTGGACTGATGACGTGGCAGGAACTGCACTCGTGACGCTGACATGTCGCTGACACAGCTCTGATTGGCTGATGACATCACCGATGACGTCAGCCATCTTCAACCTCTGGCCTGCGTACAGTGCGTGATGACGCACGTGATGACGCGGGCACTTCCACTCGGTGATTGAGCGGCGCGTACGGTAGCTTCCGGTGGCCAAAAAATCCCCAAAATACCAGAT